GAGACCACCATTGAGGGTAAAAGCAGTTCAGGTTTGATACGAGAAAACTAAAGGAAAGAAGGAAATTTTACCTAGAATACGAAAGTGGTAGGTAAAGGCGAGGAACATAGACGTGAGCTAGACAAGCACCGAAGAATCTAGTCCCAAAATCTCTTAGACTAATCAAATCCTTGAATCGATTCCTCTAAAACCTCATAAGAAAGGTCAGTGAACTCAAACTATGAAGAAGCATTTCCTATGCTCTATGCCTGGATGATGTCGTGATCTCAGCGAAGCCATCCTGTCACGTCTTTTCAATCGTCCTAAGCATCTTGGGCTAGATATAAAGAAGAGTGGTACCCAAGTCAGGCAGGTTAAGCTCAAGACTGGGGAGCAACTGATGATACCAAAAAATGGCATCATAAGTAAATAAAAGGGGATCCAGACAATGGGCCCTAAAAGAAGCTTGCAAATGACATCTATTCCCCACCCTTGCGTCCAAGCCTGCATCCTCGAAAGGAAGGTGGCCAAGGTCACTCACATATATCTTGAGCTTAAGGAACCCAAATCGACTAAGAACGGCCTCAAGTGCAGATGCCCAGGTCAACTACACAACGTGACGAGGAGAATCAATATCTCTAGCTCATGACAGGTGTTTGGACCGAGCTCCCTTATTCCTGAGTTGGCTAAAAGAAAAAGATGTCATCCCAAAGTAGAACAACCTCACGACAAGCTCTTCTAGAGATATGGAGGATCACAACGTATCCAAGTTGGAAGATAGGTCACAAGGCCACCTTAGCATGTTTCAGAATGCCATATCACACCTAGAGAATGTAGCCTTTAACGACACAATATTCCCTCAATGAAATCCTAACAAACTTGGGGATTATGTGATGATGACATAGGGACCACCCCACCTGTGGGTATAAATACAAAGACCTTCTCCATGTAAATACATCTAACGAGAAAATCAAGTACTTTATAACCTATCTTCTTCCCCAAGTAATATACAGTAGTCAAAAGAGCAAGAGACTTCATTAGAGTGGATTAGTCAAGCTTTTCAGCTGGTGAACCACTATAATTCATGTTTTTGTAGCTCATCTCACTGTTCAGATTTTACTATAGCGTTAGTTAGAGCCATCAGGCTCCTCCTTAGGATATCGTCTTCCCCATCGATCACACCATCACCACTGTTCACAACTCTTAAGCTCTTCAGCTTAAGCACTCTCCTCACGCCTCAAGTCCGCACATCATCAATCACCATGATAATTCAAGGGAATTAATGAACATACACGTTGATTTGTCAACCGAGTTAAGTCTGACTGTTAAATCAAATTTGACACTAACAACTCTAACTTTCTTGAAATGGAAATCAATAAAAGGGTGCTGAATGGTAGGTTGACTTTATAAAATGTTTGTCAAGCAAATTTTAAGATCGTGTTAAGATTGTTGAAGTATGATGATAGGAAAAATATTCTTTTAATTTTGGAGAGTGTAGTAAATTTTGCACCATTGTGTTATGGAAAAATAATTTGAAGTAGAAAATCGTTGCAAATAAATGCAAACATATCCTAAGGATGATATTTTTTTTTTCAAGAAGGTGGGTATTATGTAGAATGAGATTAACAATTTTTAGATTTTATTTTTACAATATTATTTTGTTGTAATTGAATTAGAAATGTGACACCCCATGCCTTGAGGTCCGAATTACTTGTTAAACCTCGTTAATTAACCCAAGGCATTGATTCCAACAGACCAATCCCAATGGAATTCTGACAAAGTCTCCTTTGTATGGGGAGCTCCGCCCTAACTCAACTTGTGTTCTAGAGTAACACAAAGACCATTAAAAGGTCGAATCCAACATTTAAACATTTTCATGCAATATCCCGTGAGGCTTAATCAGACCTTGGTCTAATCTTTTTGGACCCCACCCATTAAGGACCCAAGCAAACTGATGACGCCTTCGGTTTCTAAAAATTATCTCTTTCACAGGTGATCCCTTGTTGATAGATTAATAGGGGAGAATCTCTATGTCACTAGGATGGTGAATTCCCCTTCTCCTAAGAGAGCGAGGTCTAATGCCCCTAGTGCTTTTTAGCTGATGTTTGATGACCCTACTATTTCTCGGAAGGCGGGGTATGATGGTGTCCCCGCTTCTTCTTAGCATGTGACCCCTTTGAGTCCTAGGGTTAGTCCTAAGACTACTTTAGTTATTGAGACTCTTATGCAGACTTCCACTGAGACAGGAGCTCTGTATAATTGTCTTGCTTCCACTATTGGACGAGCTGGGCACTCGATGTGCGTGGTGCGCCCAAGGTGCGCAAGCGGGTGAGGAGGCAAGTGCCAAGGCAAGGGTGCGTAGGCGAGCGTGGAGGAATGCGCCAAGGTAACGATGCATAGACAGGAGAATAGGCAGAAGCCATGGCAAGGGTGAGCAGAGGGACGAGGTGGCAGACACCTAGGCAAGGATGCACAAATGGGCGAGGAGGCAGGCACCAAGAAAAAGGTGTGTAGGCGGAGAGGAGGTAGGTCCAAAGGCAAGGGTGCACACGGGCGTAGGTGCGTGTGCGTTGAGTAAAGGCACTGGCAAGTGCCGCAATGGCGTAGACAACACTAGGCACAGGTGCTGCTGGGTGCTAGGACGCTGTTGGGCGAGGGTGTTGCTAAGCATTTGTGACACCCCTAAAACTAGGGGTCTCGTTGACGATTCGTCAACCCACGGAAATGCCCGTGAGTGCCGCTTGATTCGACATCACGCTAATGTCATTCCTTGAACCGGAATCATGAGCCATATTTGTTTAATCATTTAATCCAACCAAGGTCCAATATACCTCATTTAATGTCCATTATATCATTGGAACCAAGAAAAACAAAGCCCAAAAGTATGGCAAAATAATTTAAAATTTTCAAATTTTAGGAGATAGTACTAGTACGATTTTCCTTCTAGGCAGACTGTACCGGTACGCAGTACCGGTACACTTTGTCCAGTTTTGCCAAATTCACCTGTTTTCGATTTTTAACCCATTCCAAAACCTACCTTTTTCATCCAAAACATACTAAATCATGTTTTTCACATATAATCTAACATATACAATGTCTAATACAACCCATTCCATACATTTACATGCCAAATGGGTTTTAAACAATAGTTTTTACAAAAACTTGTTTTCAAAAGCGACAACTTCATCGTTGATGCCTCAATGAGTGCTATCCACCGGAATGTAGTCCACACTTGAAATATTTTCCCGTATAGGATGAGCCACGCCTAGTAGAGTATTTTCTACAGAGGCTACTCCCCAACCTAAGTGCATATGAAATGTTCCCATACAACAATTCACAACCAACAACATTCCAAACAAGTGTACATAATTCAATTTTGGAATCTTAGCAATGTCATGCCATGAAGTGAGATGAGACTCAATCATGCAACTCAACCCAAGCCCTTCTTGACTCTTTTTCCCCATGTAATGCCATGGTTTTTAAAACCGGGCACCCAAGCCCCTGCCATTGGTTTCACTCACCCAATGACTATTTGAAAATTTTTAGGTCTTTCTTGAGGTGGGTATTTATGGACTTACACCAACGGTCACCCAACCGACACGAAATTTATGGACTTTCACCAACGGTTTCGCGTACACCAACACACTTTATTGGCTCTTATACCAATGGAAGTACGTATCCGAATTACCGGGTCTCTCACCCGAGGGATAGTCTAGCCCTTCTTGCTAATACCGATCCAATTCTTTCTCATGCAACCGTGCGACTTAGCCGGATATTCAAACTAACTTTTTCGAGCCCACCCATCATCCACCTATTTGGTGTTTGATATCAACCATGCGCACACACACACACACATATAGCTATGGATGTGATTTCTCCGTGCAAATGCAATGTAATGTTCCATTGCCATCTCAATATCATGCCCATATGTAAAGAATGTCATATGAGCGACTTTAAACACGTATGTACTTGTCCCATGGTAATTTACATCTCATGCATACAATTACCAACTTTATCACAATGTTATTACATCAATAAACATATATCAACATTTTGTTTGCAACAACAATCACTAGCATATATTACATAATATAAGCCAATAACACACTTCAATCCCCAAGGCATAATTTTAAACACATAGCATGCCCACAATCACATTTCCATGGAATTACACAAGTAATTACCATATATCAACTCCAAGTTAGGAATTTATTTTAACCCATTTCTATATCCATTTGCATACCCATTTCATCAATTTCATAAGCATAAACACATGATATAGCATTTTATAAATCCACCCATTACATATAGACAACCTAGGTTGTAAATAAACCTAAGTAGTAAGGAATCCTACCTGTTGAAGCATGAAATCACGCTAGGAAGCTCCAAGAACCCAAAACAAGCTAGAATCTCCTCTTCCCAAAAAATCCCGTCCTTGGAATCTCGCCCAAAACCGACCTCCTTGATATGGTTTTGTAGCCCACGTTGAGGAGAACAACTTTCTTTCTTGGCCCGAGCGGATTCGACCACTCAATATCCGTAGATCTTAGAGAGAAGGTGGAGAAATTCTCTGTTTTCCTCTCTTCTCTATCGGCTAACTGTTGAATACAAAAAATGAGGCCAAAAATCAGATTTTTCCCCTATTTATAGTCTTAGAATACTTGGCCCACAACGCGCCACACGACCCTCTTTTTCTCGGGTCCGTTTTCATCCCGAAACGATTAAATTTCACCCCGGTTCAAGTTCAAATTAATTTTATTTTAATTTATCTTAAAAATTATTTTTTCAACTTTTAAAATTTTATCAGAAATTTCATTTTTAGGTCACTTGAGACTCAACCGCATCGTAAAACGTAAAAAATTGAACAATCTCATAATTAAATGAAATTTGACTGGATAACTAAATTTTGCGAGACGAATCCAATGGTGAGGTCCGTTTCATTATCCGAGATCTAGAAAAATTCAGGATTACAACTCGTACTGTAGCAAAAATTTACCGTTTTGCCCTTTTTTTGTAAAAAGTTTAAATTTACCTGGTTTTATAGCATTGGCGCCGATGGGTGCTGAGGCGAGGCATGGGCACAACTTGGTGCTGCTGGGGAGTGTGCATCGTTGGATGCTGAGGCGTGGGCAGGAGAGGCGGCAAGTGCTAAGGCAAGAGTGCGCAAGTGGGCGGGAGGAAGACGAAGGGGTAGGCGCCAAAGCCGCCAAGGTATTGGTGCACAGACGAGTGAGGTGGTAGGCTCCAAGGTAAGGATGCACAAGGGCATGGGCGCCGCTGGGCATGGGCTCTACTGGGTGCGGGCTGTGCTGGGCATGGGCACCACCGGGTGCTGAGGGCGGTCGGGCTAGGAGGTAGGTGCCAAGGCGAGGATGCGCAAGGGCACATGTGCGCGTGTGCTGGGCAAGGCACGAGCGGGCGCCGTTGGGCGAGGGCGTCTCTGGGCATGGATGCTACTGGGTGCTGAGGCAAGGCGCGAACGCCACTAGGAGAGTGCGTTGTTGGGCGAGGGCGCCCTCATGGTGCCACTGGGGTGCGGGTGGCTCTAGGCACGAGCGCCACTTAGTGTTGAGGCGTGGGCGGGCGAGGAGGTAGGTACTAAGGCAAGAGGCGCTGAGGCACAAGCGTTGGTGTCGGGGGGGAGTATTAGAAAACCATAAAGCAACGAAAAAATTATTTTTAAACTTTTTAATTTGTCATAAATTACTGCTATAAATTGACATTTATCATGCATAGCTTTAATTTATGAGTTAATAGCACTTTTGGTTCCTATAGTTTGTATTTTTTTTATCAGTTTAATCCTCAATGCATCAATTTTCTCAATTTGGTTAATAAAGTATTCAATTCATGTCATTTTGGTCTCCAAATAGATGTACTGTTAAGTTTTTTAACGAAAGTGACCACGTGTTATTTTTTTAAACGGGTATCACGTGCCTAATATGTAATTATTATGTTAAAAATTTAACAGTACGTCTATATGGAGACCAAAATAACATGAATTGAATACTTTGATGACTAAATTGATAAAATTGATACTTTAGGGACTAAACTTACAAAAAATACATACTTTAAGGACCAAAAATGTTGTTAACTCATAAATTAAAGTCGTGCATAATAAATGCCAATTTACAACAGTAATTTATGATAGATTTAAAAGTTTCAAAATATTATAGTTTTACAGATAATATATTTTTATAGTTTATAAATGTATTTAAGAAGAATTTAGAAACTCAATTTTTTTTTACATTTAAGGAAATTTTTGATTTAATGCATAAATGTCTTTGTAAGATCATTTAAGGACAAATTAGGAGTGTGTCATTAATTTTGAAGGATAAGGATGGTATAGATGTATTATTTGGGGGCAAAGGAGGAAAAAAAAGTGTTTCAAGTGATATTTTAAAGTAATATTAATAAAGAATATTTTTTAGATTAGCTGACGAAGATTGAACAATGCTGACAAAGTTGAACAATGCGTTGATTATCACAAAATTCTTGAGGAGATGAAGGTTGGGTTAGTAGCATATAAACTGATGTTGTTAGTTCGACATTTTTCCAGTAATTAACATCCATAACAAATTTGATGAAAAATTATTTTATTTTACCTTTTAAACTATATATTTTATTTTGTTTTGCCCTTGCCACTTTGATAATTTTAGTTCAGAAGATAATGGATGTTTCTTTTTGGAGCAGTGAGAAATCAATTCAAGTAGTTAAGGGGCAAGTGAAAAATTCATAGTTGAAGGGATAAAGTGAAATAGAGTTTATAATTAAGGGAGTCAAAATATAATTTACCCAAGAGCAATATTAAAGACAGTGACGAGACCAGACGGACTTAAAGTGATGTTGGGAACCTCTTGAAGGTTAGCAAGAGAGAATTTTAAGGAAAATGGTGAAGACAAAAATCATGGGATTCCTATTTGAGGATGCAACACTTGAAGTTGTGATGAAGTGTCAGTTTAAATTACACAAGAAACCCTAAAAAAAAAAAAAAAATGGGAAGTGACAAGAATATCAACTGTATAGAGTTGGTATTTCTAGATTGCTAGGGAATTTTGATTTTGATGATCTTAAGTTGCTATTTGATCTCGATAATCTTGAATTATAAGGAGAAAATAACGTTATAATAATTTTTAGATCATCATGATAGTTTGAGTGAGGCAATGAACGTACATTGTTGATTTGTCAACAGATTTAAGTTTAGTTGTTAAGCAAAATTTGATTTAAACAACTCCAACTTTCTTGAAATTGAAATGAATAAAAGGTTGGTGAACATCAAGTTGACTTTATAAAATGTTTGTCAAGCAATTTTTAAGATCGCATTAAGGTTGTCGAAGCATGATGATAGGAAAAATATTCTTTTAATTTTGAAGTGTAGTAAATTTACATCATCGTGTACTAAGGAAGATTAATCTAAAGTAAAATAATATTGCAAATAAACACAGACGTATCAAGCCGTTTCAACTAATGAAAAACCAAGGATGAGTTTTTTTTTCCTTTAAAGAGGGTGGGTATGATGTAGAATGAGATTAACAATTTCGAGATTTTATTTTTATTGTATTATTTTGTTGTAATTTAATTAGAAATATTCCAGAGTAATTAGTTGTCTAAATGGTTTTAATTTTTCTAAATAGAGAACACCATGTGTTTTTAATTTTTAGTAATTTACGAAGAACTAGGGATTTGTTTATATTTTGGGAAGGTTTAGGGTTCTAGAAATACCTACAAGTTGTTATAAATTTATTATAATGTAGTATGAGTTTCAATTCATTCAATGATATTAATTTCAGAATGTTTTTCTTTTTTTTTCCTGTGAATCCAAGGTTGTGTGTGTTCAATACATAAAAAAATTGATGCATATATAAAATTTAGGGTAATTTACAATTTACACCTTTGAAGATGCACATAATTTTTATTTTGTCCCTAAGTTTAAGTTAATGCAAGTACATTTAAACTTATCAAAATGCTACACGACACGATACGATTAATCGATGCAAATCGACATAGATTTAAACGGATTTGGGTGAAGTTTTAACGGGTGTGGATGGTAAACAGGTGGACCTGCTAGATCAGTTTAATAAATAGGTCGTGTTTAGATGAAACTGTCAGCCCTTTTATTACCTGTTTACCTATTTAAATAAAATTAATAAATTAATAATTATTCAAAATATTTTTTAGTCATAATAATATATGCAGTTTAATAATTTTTTAATATAATAATATAAAAAAATTATTAAACATGTGTTGTCTTGTAACTCATTTAATAAATGAATCATGTTCGGTTTGTGGATCTCCATCCGTTTAATTAAACTAGTCATGTATGAGTTGAATGATTTTTTCATATGAACCCGCTTAACCCGATACGGCTGAAACTCCTAATTGCATCCTTAAATTTTTAACTGAGTTTCAATCCAATTCTTCCATTGAGATCTATTAATTTGTTCCAACAAAAAGACGTCACAAGACTTGTCCCCAAGTTTATATTGGTCCAGCAAAAAAATATTTATCTCAAATACATTGATATTTCTCACTTTATCTCATAATATCTCTCAAATTCCTACTCTATATTTTTTTTGCGGGTTTGTTATCATTTTTTCCTCAAGATTAGATGAAATAAAGTAAGGTTTTCTAGTTTACACTTAACTAATTTTTTACCAAACAAATATACCTTTTACCCAATTGAAGGGGGGGGGGGAGCTCCCCATATTACACGTGTTATGACATTAAATGAGCTCACGTGAGGATGACAAGACATGACACGTGAGGGAAGCATGAATGAGCCATTGAGACAAATAGGTCTAGCTGAACTGGTCAATAAGCTCGAAAAGCAGAGAAAGAGCTCGGCTCCTACCAAACCAGGCTGATCAATTCGTTCGAAAAGCATTGAAAGAATTCAGTTCATATTATGACCGAGTTGTTTGCAACAGAAACTGGAAAGATAAAAATTCGCCTATAACTTAGGCATTTAGATAAATGAATCAATGAAATTATAGATTTGTTAGGAGGAGTTGTTGGAGAAATATCAGCAACACCCCAAATTTAATCGCTAAATTAAAGGAAGGTGTGCACCTTGAATCAAAAATCGCAGAAACCCTAAGGGGATAATGATCTATAAAAGGCAGAAGAAATTAAGGTGAAAGGGACGCTGAACTCTTCTTGTCTTCTTGCAATTGTCTCAGTTCCATTATTGACTTAAGCATCGGAGTGTCTTCGATTAAAACATTTCAATCTTGGGCAATTTGTTCGTTTTACAGGAAGTAAAGACTGGGAGATCAAGTTCAGAACTCACTCTTATCAGAAATGTTTAATCTTTATTCTTGTAGGAGGTATCCTTAATTTTTACCCCCTTACATTTTGGCGCCGTCTATGGGATAATTTTCGTCATTCGCAACGAAAGGCTACGATGTCGAGACTCAGAAGTGCCATTGGATCACCTGTAGGTAGTTTTGCCTTGGGAAATTCTGATCTAGTCTCACATCCATCTGGCAGCAACATTAGGTTGCATGCCAACAGGAGCCCATCTAGACCTCACGAAGACAATGAGGTATCCTCAGCTAGTTTCAAACCATCTAGAGATCAGAATCAGCAGATTGTAGGTCATGGGGAATCCCTCCGTGCTGAGGGGGAAAATCATTCTTTTGCGAAATTGGTCCAATCCTGCAGGACAGGCTGGATTCGCATGACAAATTATTTAAGAAATCCTACGCTAGGGAAAAGGACCTGATAAAGGAGAATGAAGAGTTGAAAGCCAAGCTGAAGGGGTTGACCAGAAAAGAGAAGCGTGAGAGGGACAACCGATGAGAAAATCCTGAGAAAAAACATGACAGAACCAGGGATGCAAGGAATGATAAATACCAGCAAGACCTCAGGTTCTAGAGGAGGACTCATGGAAGTAATACATTACCGAAGAACTCAACAACCGCTTGAAAAAGCCAGGACAGAGATCTGCTAGGGACCTAGCGAAGAGAGCAACAGGGGAATACGGGAATGGCTCTGAGTTGTCACCTTTCACTTCATGGATTGAAAGGGGGAAAATTCTGAGCAAGTTTATCGTCCCGAATTTCAAACTTTACAACAGAAAAACTGACCCAACCTCGCACATCAGACATTACAGACAGTTGATGACCACTCATCGAAGAAACGAGCCACTGCTTTGCACCATCTTCCCTAGCAATCTTGGGTAGTCAGCCATGAAATGGTTTGACAGTTTGCCAAAGGGATCGATAGATGGATGGTCACAACTG